GGAAAAGGACATTGGGCGAGAGATTGCGACAGGGTATGACTATATGATTGTGGGGAAAAGAGAATTCAGGCCGAGGAGGGGAGAACGGAGAGGCAAGAAATGGTTATGAAAATGTTGCGGGAGGAGGGTAGAGAGGAACAGGTATATCTTCCGAGTCCGAAAGTGTGGTTTAATATAAATGGGAAAATGATATCCATGTTGTTTGATACAGGAGTGGCTATATCGGTAATGGGATATGAAGATTTCAGAAGACTATGGCCGAATAGTACAATAATTCGGGAGAGGATTCAAGTGAGGCAATTTGATGGACCCGAAATGGAGATGATGGGAAAAGTGAAAATAGGCTATGTAGGGAGTGACTGATGCCAAGTTTTGGATTTGTGGATAATTAATAGAAGAGTAGAGCCATTGAAGGGATTGGATTACGAGTGTTGGGCCGGTGTATGATTTTTGTGGAGTATTTGCGCCGTGGGGAGTATTTATGGCCGTCATAGAAGGCATCAGAGAGGACATTATAAGGATGATCAAGGAGGATGAAGAAATTTACAGGAGAAATGGTGAATGGATGGAGGACCGAGACAATATAGAAGTGGATGAGGGAGCACCCATGTTTTGGGGAGAAAGCGAAGGGATGACAATGGAGGATCGTGTAGAGGAGGTGAGAGAAGGTCAAATGTTGATGAATATGGAAATGGGATGTTCAACAGTAACCAAGGAAATAGTTGGACCGCGGATGCGAGGTATAGAAAATGGAGAATTACAAGAAGAGGAGTTCCAAGAACAAGGAAGAGTAGTAAATTAAATAAACCAGAGGATTTTATGGGGGAGTTGGAATTTGTGATAAAAGGTGTCGAGAGATTAGCCCAAGAGTATGAGGCCAATGTTGAGGTTGTATGCGGATTTCCGGGTAACGTTGAATCCATGTGTGTTGGAGGTGAAGTATCCGTTACCCATGATAGAGGAGATATTGCCAGTTTAAAGGGGAGCAGATATTTTTCGAAAGTGGATTTTTCGAACGCATATTTGCAATTACGGGTGGAAAAGGTGAGGCAGAGGTTGTTGACTATAACAACGCCAAAGGGCCTATTTGCTTTTAGAAGGTTTTCGTTGTATTGGGTGTATCGGCGCCTATATTTCAACAGACGATGGCGGCGGTTTTTCAGGGATTGGAGGGAGTGTTTTATTATATGGATGATGTATTAATAACGGAGGTTACGCTAGAGCAGAACAATCGAAAGTTGGAGGTGGATGAGTATTTGCAGCGTGTTAATGGAGTTGTGGAGTCTTTTCAGCGTGTATGCAAAAGTGGGAATCCACTGGGAGTCCGAAATTTTTTTTAGTAATAAAATAAATTAAAAGGATTTTAGGTTCACTTTACTCATAGAAGAAGACGATGGAGGAATGGTAATTATGGAAATATGTTCGAACAATCGATGGTCAAAGGTGTCCACTTACAACAATAACAGAAGAATTCCTAGGGGTGATCAAAGGGATTGGGGTCTCAAGGATTGTGTCATAATTGGAAGACTTTGATTTGTAAAAATTTTTGGTAAAGTCAGTATATATTGCGTTTAATGAGTATATTTTATTTTTATAATTTTATGTTTTAGTTAATTTGGTGAGTCATTGTTATTTTTATAATTTTATGTTTTAGTTTAATCGCATTAACATTTTATTTTTAGATTTATAAAAGTTAATTATTGTAAAGTCATTATGATGGGATAATTTATAATGTCTAAAAATGTATTTTTATCTTATAATTTTAATTTGAGGCATGAGGCGCTTTATAATTGTAAAAGAAGATATTTTTAGATTGTTAAATTTTAATTATTTATTTGTGATGATTATTGCTTCCCTATAAAAGGGAAGCGAAATTGTAAATTATCAATTCATTTTTTTTTAATTCATTTTTTTAAAATGACAATTGTCACATTATATTTTCCTTAAAAAGATCATATAAAATAACATAAAGTTGAATATAAATATTTTAAATAAATATATTTAGAAACCTCTTTTAATATAATTTAGAGATAGATAATTTTACAAAAATGATAAAAAAAACTATAAAAGATTTCACTTAAAAATTGCATATTTATAATAAATTTCACAAAAGAATTGCTCAAAAAGGATATATTTTCAAAGAAGATTAAGAATTTTTATCAAAATATGTTCAAAAATCTTTTTGAACTTCAAGAAAGGGCAATCATTAATAAATTGTAACAAAAATAATATTACAATAGTAGCATATCATTTTTTATTAAAAAACATCAAAAATAAATAGTGTTCCTTTAAATAAATGCATTCGCAATATTTTTATTGTTTCGCGGTAATGCCCTCGCGATAATGACTTCGCGCAAACATATTCGCGATCAAAAATTCGCTGTAAAGTGTTCGCGTAAAATGTTTTGCTAAAATGTATTCGCTCTAATAAATTCGCGGTTAAGGTTTCGCGGAAATAAATTCGCGGCAATGGCTTCGCGAAATTGTCTTCGCTATGTTTCGCGGAGATAAATTCGCAGAATTGGTTTCGCGATTTTACCTTCGCTATAAAAACTTTTCGCGATTAACGGCATTCACGATAAAAGTTTCGCGAAAAAGTGTTTCACGATAAAAGTTTCGCTGAATTGACCTGATACGGAACCATCTATCTATATCATATTTTAGAATTATGAAGAAAATACTGAAAAACAACAATTTTGGTAAGCCAACAAATTAACCGTAATCTTTAATTTCTTTATCAATATTTAATTCGATGCTATTTCTTAGTATATACAGGAGCTACCTTTTGGTGGGACTTGGTCAACAAAAATTACGGATGCTGCAACTGATGAAAACATAATTTATTCTTTTGGACTATTTATAACAATGTTTTCATACATCATCCCAGATTCAAAACGAAGTAATATCTATTATGGCAGATATGGTACTTGAATATATTTCAGATAAATATAATAAAAGTGAGATGCCTTTTATTTGTCTTAGGCTGATGAGACAAAAGATGCACAAGGTGTGAAAACCTGAACATAATTATTCGTTATATTTTTCCTGAAGTCCAAAAAAGTTTAATAGGAATTATTAATTTACAGTGTCTTTCTGCTGAAAACATTACTAATTGCATTTTAAAGCAAAATAATGAGTTAAATATTAATTCAGCGAATATAATAAGCCAGGCATTTTATGGGGTAAACGTTATGTCTGGCCGAAATGAAATAGTGCAAACCCTTCTTCAAAAAAAATTAATAAAAAAGTTCCTTTTATACATTGTTACAACCACAAGTTGCATCCAAAATTGATATAATAATATTTTTATCATTTCTAATTTTTTTAATTTATACAATGCGTTGTATAATTTTTTAGGCTCTTTAACGTATCCTGTAAATATGCAGGCCATACTCCTAGGAGACTTTTAGACCAGAGGTGGACTAGTCATTTGGAAGCATCTCTCATCATTTATGATAATTTTGAGGCTAGTGGTGAAGTATTATTTTACTTTTCTTCGGAGGTTTCTACTCATGATTCAGTCGAAGCCTAATATAAATTACGTTATATTAGTCATATGAGATATAATAACAATAGATCCACTAAATAAGTATCTACAGTCAGTAGGTACTAATCTGGGGGATGCTAAAAATTGTATTGATTCCACTATCAATATATTAAAAAATAAAAGAAGCGATAATTCTTTTGATTTGATTAGAATTAAGGCTGAAAAACTTTTAGCAAAATTTGATCTCACTCCCCACAAATCATCAAGGGTACGTAAAACGCCTATAAATTTTCAATATTTTTTAGTCGAGACCAAATTACAATTTGATTGTGAAAAAGACTCCAATTGGAGTTCTTTAAAAAGGAATTATTGATTACTTTGTGTTGATCATTTTTTAGATAGATTTACACAAGATGACTATAACCTTCTATCATGTTTTAATACATTGTCCCCCTTTGACCCTGATTATTTTATATCGGATAAAATGGCCTGATTAGAATGATTATTAAACTTAAATATGGAAACGTTACATCATGAAATGAAAAAAGGATTATTAGCTGCAGAAGTTAAAGAAACACATAATTTTGAAAATATCCTAAATATTATGTATAAAAATAATATCATCATGCATTTAAAGAATTGTATAAATGCTATACTCAGCAGCCATCATCATTAGGGTATCAACGGCTTCTTGATTGGTCTCTTTCTCTACAATAAAGAGAGTTCTATCGAGCACTAGAGAGTCGATGAAAGATCAACGTAAGCAAAATTTAGTATTGATGGCTTATGGAAAAAAATAACGCAAAATTTATCCTTTAATTCATTTATGTTAAATTTTAAAAATAAAAATCGTCGTATTATATAAAGTATTATTTTGTATATTCATATTATAGTATTATTTTGTATTCATATTACATTAGTAAATTGTTAATAAAAATAAATAATTTCTATGAATGCTTTTATTTAAAAAAAATTGTGGCCCCCTCAAGTAAGCAGCTGGCCTTTCTAGTTGAAAATTCCTGGTTACGGCCCTTTTCTTGAGCATCACTAAAAACCACCCTCTATAACTCAATAAAATCATAATATCATAACAAATAAAACATATAATTAGAATGTAGGTTTGTATACAAAAGTGTTCAAACCGGTATTTAGAGGTTCGAACAGAGCCGATACTTGTATTTTACTGAACCTGAACTTTGAACCGTTATAATATTCTTTTTGATACGGATCTGCCTTTTACAATCTACTTTTTCATTTTTGAATGTTACAATCTATGTTTTGGTTTTTTTTAATAAAACCATATTATTATTGTCTTTTTTACAATATAAGTTTTCGCATTTTCACCAGTTTATTGTTAATTAAATAAAATAAATAAACTTTTGGAAATTTCATTTGACCGCAATTGACTTTATAACTACATTTGATTGCCACTTTTATTTTTTTGAATGGGAAATCCTGTGATACTATGTTTAATTAAAAATTTATCACGTGATTTGATTAATTATGATATAAGATCAACGGTTGAGGATTCAAAAATCTCAATATTTCCCAAAATTCGAACCGTACGATATCAAGAGCGATGTACCGGACTCAAACATGACAATTATATCGCTATTTACCAAACCTGAACCAAAACAGTCTACAAAACCAAAAGACCCACCTAAGAGAGAGGAGACAGAGAGGCCATACAGACAGATCGTCGAAAATCAAGAAGATTTTCTATATCTTCGGCTCTTGGGTAAAACTATACCACTAAAAAATCTATATACGCTAATTATATATTTATTCTATCTGGCTAAGTAAGTAGTTATATGTAACTATTTTTAATTTCCCTTATATACTTTAAATTACCAGATTTATTTAATCGAAAGCATAAGGAATTACTTTTTTCAGCTTGTTATTCGTGTGTATATATTTTGTGTGTGTATATATATAATAGTAGAAGCCTGCACTGACAGATTCAACACCTATCTGATCGAACTGTCGGACTTGGGAATAAATATTCTCTGACTCTTTCGGATTTGAATCTTGATTTTGAAATTTATTTCGGACTCTAATCTCTTAAAAAAATTTAAATGATTTGGATTTCCTAATGTTTTGATGATAACTATCTTCAGGAATAAAAACAAAGTTGTATATTATCCTTCAAGCCGTGTAGACTCACGGATTATTTCTAAACAGCTATCAGCCGTCTATAAAATATATAGCCTTAAAAAAGTGGCTATTATGATTTACCATATCTTTACTTTATTTGTACCCCAAAAAGATGTATGAATAGCAAGTAATATTTATTTAATTACACATACTCACTTAAAACAAACCAGAATAGGGTGTATTATGGCTCAAAGCTGAATAGTTTATCCTAAGCAGAAATAAGTTTCAGAAATAATCCGAGTGTTGACACGGCCTCGGCACTTATAAACTTTCTGATTTCTTTTAATAATGTTTTTTCAACAGTTCAATAAAAACTGATCGGACTCGGATTGAAGAAAATTCTTGTATCGTTCATACAATCATTTTTTCTCAGATCGGGTTCGACCTGAAAAACAGGTCCGATTTAGGTGTATATATTAATTATTTAATTCATAATATCTGCGTTTTTTTCAGTTACTCTGAAAATTTACAATATTCATTTTTTCCAGGAGTGAGAATGTTGAAATTAGTAAACACTAAGACGAATGAAATGCAGGCTAATTACCTGAAAGGGTGGATGAGTAACAACAAATCTCTCCACCCCGAAATCATAGTCAAAAAGGATTCTCCCAAACTACTTGTAGAAGAAAATAGTATGGAGGAAGCATGTACCCTGGACGGCCCCATATACCACGTAGTCTCATATGTTGACGATGAGGATGACGAGTGCCAGTATGGTCAGGAAAGTTCTAGTTTTAATGATAAGTTCATATTTTATAAAATAAATAATTATATGTTTGTTCGATTGAAGAAAATCAATATTAAAATAATAAACCTTTAAAGAAATTTGAAAAAAATTTGAGGGAATAGGATTATACATCCGATTTCACTATTTTTTTTGTTACCCTAAATATTATTTCTCATCTAAAATCTCTGAACATTACTTTTGAAAAACTTAACGTTGTTTACATATGGGATATTATATTATAGGTAAACTGAGTGGAAATTTTCTAAATATTTTTATTGAATAGTATACATCTGTTCAGACCGGACTGTTTTAATAATATGGTATATTATATTTTCTATATAATAATTTTATTTAAAATACTTTTTTCATAATTTAATAAAAATATCAATTCAAGGGTTCGTTCGCAGAAATTGATTACGAGTTATTTTACAAAACATGGTGAAAGTTAATTTTATTAAAATATACGTCGATGGGGACATATTAAACAATTATTTCCACTTGTTATCAGATTCTTATACAAAGTGCAATGCAAATCAACCATTAAAAAAAATATATGAATTGTTTTTTCATCATAATTATTAATAAATATTTGTATTGTAGAAAATTAGCAATATTTTTAAAGTATCGATTTTATTAAAAAAAATTTTTCCGGTCATGGGTTACTTTATTTGAATATTTACATTATAATTGCATATTTTAATAAATTTTAAAATCTTATAATTTTATATACACCATTTTTTATTGTTTCGTTTTTCTATATCTTTTAGCGTATCACGTCAATTCGGCGCACGACAATTCGGCGCGGCGACAATTTAACGCGTATCTATTACAGTTGCAATTTATTATATATTACTTAGTATAAAAAAATAAGGATTAAATAGAAATCATTTTGAATGTTGGTCCTATTAATTATTTCTTCATATTTATTTTTACAAAAATCTCAATTTTATTTACTAAATGTGTAATATCAAAAAAATTAACAACCAATATTTACCTATTTCTTTGGTTGACCAATTTACCACATAAGGTATGTTGATTAGTAGCCAATGTTTTGCAAGCCGAGATTTTGGACATAGAAGAAAGAAAGGTTTGGACCTCTATTTCGAATCTTACATATTATTTTGGCTAGAATTTAAATCGACGATTTTTAAAAATAGACCCAGCCATGATCCAAAAAAAATCATATTAAGACTGATTCATTTTTTAGATTTATTAAAAATCTTTAAATTCTATTAATCCTTTTTAAAAAAAATATTATTCTTAGGCTAATTTTTTTTATTATATAAATCAAAAATTAAATGTGTAATATCAAAAAAAATTAACAACCAATATTTATACCTATTTTCTTTTGTTGACCAATTTACTACATAAGGTATGTTGATTAGTAGCCAATGTTATGTAAGCCGTTTTGGGTCTATTTTTAAAAACGGTTGATTAAGATTGTAGCCAAAATAATATGGTAAGCGGAAAATAATTCCCCGGAAAAAAAATCCCGGAAAAAAATTCCCGGAAAATAAATCCCCGGAAATTAATTCCCCGGAAAAAAAATCCCCGGAAATTAATTCCCCGGAAAAAAATCCCCAGGAAAATAATTCCCCGGAAAAAAAATACCCGGAAAATAATTCCCAGGTAAATAATTCTCCGGAAAAAAAATCCCCGGAATAAAATTCCCCTGGAAAATAATTCCCCGGAAAAATTTCCCCACTATACATTGAATTGCTAATGCATTGCTAAACTGCATTGCTAAAAAGCAATCAATCATAATTAATTATAAATCAATCAAAAATTTATTACCCATATTTTTTTAATGATAATTTTTTAAACTTTTTTTAAAATATATTTAAATCATTTTTTTATTATAAATGAAGAATACTGATTAAATGATATAGTATATAATTTTATTTTTATTTAATATTTATTTTTCTAGCTTATTAAAACAAATATACATTTTATTTAATTTTAAAAATTAAAATATATATCCGTAAGAGTGCGTTATATGTTTGAATATGTATCATTTTAGGAAACCGGAATGATGATTGGATAGCACTTTTTTTATATTTGGGTATATATATACATATGAAAAACCTAAAAATTAAAAATTTTTTTAGGTTTCTTTGATGTTTAATGAGTAGGTTTAGAATAGTAAAACAATGGAAATTTTTTAAAGTAAATATTGCTGGCGTTATTTATCAAAATCTCTTCATTTTTGTTTTATACGTGTATATTTACGTGCTAAGCATTATTCTAAAAAATAATTTGATTTGACCGATTGCCGAGTTCAAAACCGACCACTTATTAAATATTTGATTGATCAAATTTGCTATTAAGATAAATTGAAAAATGTTGATTTTTGTTTTATGTATCTATAAATACGTATAAAACATAATTCCAAAAAATATTTTAAAAATATCGTGATTTGACCCGAAAACCGACCGAATGACCAAATACTGCATTGCTGGCGTTATCCATGGAAAAATCTTCATTTTTGTATTATACGCGTATATATATACGTGCTAAGCATTATCCTAAAAAATATTTTGAAAATAATTTGATTTGACTGATTGCCGAGCTCAAAACCCCACTTACTAAATATTCGATTGATAAAATTTACTAGTAATATGATTCGAAAAATGTTCATTTTTTGTTTTATATATCTATAATTACGAGTAAAACATATACGAGTCGGTTATCCGCCAAACCACGATATTTTTAAAATATTTTTTGGGATTATGTTTTATATGTATTTATAGATGTATACAACAAAAATGAACAATTTTCAAATTATATTACTAGTAAATTTGAATCTGGGAAAATAATTCCCCGGAAAAAAAATCCCGTGACCCGGATCTGCTCTGCAGTATTTAATTAAATAGAAATGTTTTTTAAAGTCAAATTTCTTCGAGGATTTGAGATTTTAAATAATAAAACGAAAGTTAAATAAATCTAGTTCACCTTTACACACTTTCATCAACTTTTAGGTATTTATTGAAAAATTATTTTTACACAAATTTTAATCATTTTTTTAGAAATATGATAAAAGGCTTTTCACAGTTTACTGACTCTTAAATAGCGCCCCTTTTTGTTTTTACAAGGATAAGCTATTAAATAATATAATTTTATAAATTTTGTGGCGAAATAGGAAATTAGCAATTCAATCTGATACCCTCTATTTGATAAAAATTATTTTACTGAAGTATTTACCTACTTTAAGAATTTAACTGACTGAATACAAAATCACAATAAAACTTGCAAAATTATATTTTTTACTGCCCAATTTTAATTAAATACTGCCAAAAGTAATGAAAAATGCTGACCACTTTAATCAAAATACATCCAGAGGTGATTATCAGCAGTGAGTATTATATTTTTCTAATCTAACAATTATTATTTTGCTTATGAATTTTTTTCAAAAGTTACAGAAAAGAAATAATTATAATTTTATTAAATGATATATAGAATAATAAATTATATTATTCAAAAGAAACAATTCTAGAACGTATATGTTCTCCAAATGAAGAGAGAAAATTGGGCAAGTCCCTTCTCTCTTCTAAATAATCAAGGCATAAATTTTTTTAAATAGTTTGTTTCGGTGCATAAATACGATTTTTTTGGGAGTGTATGTCCCAATATTCCATTGGCCGATTTTTCCCATATCAACCGCTATTTCCATCCTTATTTTTTCGAGTAGTTCCCATATCTTCGGTTTTTTATTGCCTACAATATGCTTAAATCGGTTATTCCATCCTTCACATACATTGTTTGTTCGATTTTCCCCAGCAATCGTAACATTGAACACATTCCATGTTTCTGGTGAGAACAATGGCTCTACTTGCCTTTGAGAGTTTTTCCCATGTCTCAATTCTCCATTCACATAATTTTTATCAAAATAAAACAATAATTCTTTGTTTTCATCCGATACAATGGTTTTTAAATACTCCATACCTCGTTTGACATCGTGTATAGGTAAGAATGCTAATCCATCGATCATAGCTGCAAATAAGCATAACATTGGATCATTCCGATATGATGATTCTAACCCCAATTCCTGAATCTTTCTATGAGTTGATTGAGTTAGATGATAAAAACATCCTTGGATGTTGATATCTCTACCTAAAAGTTGAAAAAATATAGATTAAAATTATTGTATAGGTTTTATTTAATATTTATGTCTTTATCAATTTTTATTAATTGTACTGTGTGACAAGAAAAATGGGAGAAAAAATAAATAAAAACAAGTTTTGGTGCAGAATTTGACATTGAGTTCGATTTCGTTTTCTAAGTTTTCCCTTCACGTCAAGTTTTAAAAATATTATCGTATAAAGGCAACTTTTCGAAATCTCAAAAATGGTAATACGGATATATTTTAAAAAGTATCAAATGAAAATCCCTGAAAATTGGTGATAGTGTTAGATTTATATTTCCTTATAAATTTATTAATTTTTATAATTTTTTATCGATTGCTTTTTGAGAAAAATGGTAAAGAATTTCGTTTTGGGTACTCTTAAGTTTTCAATTTCAATTCCCGGCAAGAATCGTATAAATATGTTGGCGGACTACTGCTGGAGTATCTTTTTTGAAAATAAATCATCAACTTCATATTCGCGGAAATATATTTAGATTTACCATTAAATGTTTTTAAATTCGATAAATTTTATGTTATTGTTTAATTTGTTTTAAATTCAATAAATTTATTGTATATTACAAGTTAAATCCTATATAATAATGAAGGAGGGGGTGAGACAACGGACCGATAAAAGGTTTATTAAAAGTAAAATATGAGATAGGTTAGCTTAGCATAATTTATTTATTTAAATATGAGAAATGTAACTATTTCATTTAAAATAAATTGTTTGGGAATCGTACCTTGTGCAGTGTAGCGAAGAGAACGAAAGCTACAATAAATATATTAAATGTAAGCTATATTAAAAAAGAATCTAGAAAAATAATTCCCCGGAAAAAAAATCTCCGTTTTTAAGATAATTAAAATTACAAAATTAGGAGAAAAAATTCCCTATAAATATATCAACGAAATAATAATTCAAATAAAATATTTAAAAATTTTGATAAAATTAATTCTGAAGAATTATTAGGATTATGTTTTATACGTATTTATAGATATATAAAACGAAAATCAACATTTTTCAAATTATATTCCTAATAAATTTGGTCAATCGAATATTTAGTGAGTGGTCGGTTTTGAGCTCGGCAATCGGTCAAATCAAATTATTTTCAAAATATTTTTTAGAATAATGCTTAGCACGTAAATATACACGTATAAAACAAAAATGAAGAGATTTTGATAAATAACGCCAGCAATATTTACTTTAAAAAATTTCCATTGTTTTACTATTCTAAACCTACTCATTAAACATCAAAGAAACCTAAAAAAAATTTTTAATTTTTAGGTTTTTCATATGTATATATATACCCAAATATAAAAAAAGTGCTATCCAATCATCATTCCGGTTTCCTAAAATGATACATATTAAAACATATAACGCCCTCTTACGGATATATATTTGTTAATTTTTAAAATTGAATAAAATGTATATTTGTTTTAATAAGCTAGAAAAATAAATTTCTTATTAATAATATTAAATAAAAATAAAATTATATACTATATCATTTAATCAGTATTCTTCATTTATAATAAAAAAATGATTTAAATATATTTTAAAAAAAGTTTAAAAAATTATCATTAAAAAAATATACGTAATAAATTTTTGATTGATTTATAATTGACAATGATTGATTACCTTTTAGCAATGCAGTTTAGCAATGCATTAGCAATTCAATGTATAGTGGGGAAATTTTTTCCGGGGAATTTTATTCCGGGGATTTTTTTTCCGGAGAATTATTTACCTGGGAATTATTTTCTGGCGAATTTTTTTCCGGGGAATTATTTTCCGGGTATTTTTTTTCCGGGGAATTATTTTCCTGGGGATTTTTTTCCGGGGATTTATTTTCCGGGATTTTTTTTTCGGGGAATTATTTTCCGGGATTCAAATAATATATAAGATTAGAGATAGAGGTCAAATCTTTCTTTTTCTTTCTTCTATGCGCAAAATCTCCAGGTTTACATAATATTGGCTATTAATCAACATACCTTATAATGTGGTAAGTTGGTCCATTAAAGAAATAGGTATAAATATTAGTTAATTTTTTCGATATTACACATTTAGTAAATATAATTGAGATTTTTCTAAAAATAAATATGAAGAAATAATAATAATATCAACATTCAAAATGACTTCTATTTAATCATCCTTATATTTTTATACTAAGTAATTTATAATAAATTGCAACTGTAATAGATACGCGCCAAATTGTCGCTGAGCTGAATTATTGCCGCGCCGAATTGTCGTGCGCTGAATTGTCGCTGCGCCGTGACGTGGAACCATCTTTATCTACTAATATGTTTTTTCTTCTCTATTGTCAAACTACCATCATAGTATATTACCTTAATTTTAAAATTTATTTCGGATCGGGTTAAGACCTTGACCAAGGAAACTGACCACAAAATTATTCATCATCATTGAGCACTCATAATTTTTTCAATCCAATTAAAATCATTGCTCCTACATATTTCAAATAGGGTTCATATAAGAATTAGCGATCAATATCCTAAAGTTCGTAACTTTTTTAAGCTTAGATTAGGCAAATTAATCTCTTCATCATAAAAACATTATTATTGAGCAAACATCTTATACATTATTTTATGGGGCCAAAAACTCTAATCAAAAAATTTTATGATTAGGCCATCCCGCGTTGAACTCCTATAAAAATAATGTGTTTGGAAACCGTTATCCTATACGACAAGTTACCTGATCCATCCTATATTATATTTTTAATCATGAAATCCTTTTTCAGAGATAAGTGATTTTTTTAGAAAGCTTTATATAAAGATATAAAGTACAACAATGTAATGAGATTGAACTGTCACCAAAACAATGAATTATTTTATATTTTTGTAATTAACTTCAGTTTATATATCTTTTACAAATCATTATAAATACATCAATTAATCATCATACACAATTAACGAATATATTTAAATACAATTACCTATATTACCAGTTGCCTTTATTTTCAATAATAATTGATTCTTTTTTAGGCTCGATTTGGAACGGAATAAATTGGTATCCATTTTATATAACGGCTAGTACTTTCGTTCCCTACTGTGGGTTGATCCGTACTATCGATTTCAATCTTTTCATATATGATGGTGTCTTTAGTTGTCGAGTCTCATATAGGATCAATGTCTTTGGCTATCGAGTTTTGTATAGAATCAATGTCTTTAACTATCAAGTTTTATAATCAATTTTATCCATTAATGTTATAGTTTCTTCTTCTTTTCCTTCCTCTCTATTTTTTAAACTGGAATCGTCGAACCGATGTTTTAAATAATTAATGTGTCTTCTCCATTAACCTAATTTAGTTAGAATGTCATTGGTTCTGTTCTTTTAACAATGATACCTGGTATCCAAATATCTCTTTTTTCTTTTGCATATATTATCTTATTTATATTAAAAAAAACCTTTATGTATGGATGAGGATAAATTGGTTCTATTTATTGTAAGGGTCCTATGGGTTGAAATTATAATTGAACTTAGTGATTGTTTTGCGGAGTATTTTGATAATTAAAAAGAAAATCATCCTTTCAAATGGTTTGGTTGCCGAAACCCATGGTTTTTGTATCTTTTTAGGATTGTCATGATATATGTTACAATCGTCACAACTTTTTACTTCCATGTCTATGTCATTATTTATACCACCACATATAATCTTTGGCTAAGGATTTGATTTTTCCTGCTCCCAAGTGACCTTCATGTAATGTCGTACATTTTTTCTCGTAGAAGACGGAATTATGATTTTGTTGCTTTTGTAAAGACAATCCTTAATTATACTTAATTCCAATTCAACGTTTTTATAGATATTATTCTTTATAAGCACGTTGTTCTTATCATTTATGACTTGTTTTAATTCAATATCTTTGAAAGTTTCATCACGTATTTGATTAAAATTGATAGGTAAATCCCCAAAGTCATTTATAATTGTGATATTTTCGACAACTTCATTGTAACATTCTTGTGGCAATTTCGAGAGACAATCAGGAACAACATTATATTTACCCGCTTTATACTTTGAAATTATATCCTCCTAATGTTATATTCCACTTCAGGAGTCTTAGGGATAAAGTACTATTATCCTTAAGACCCTTGGTAAAGATGTGAACAAGAGGTTTATGGTTAGTAATAATTGTAAATTTTATGCCGATTAAGTATTCCTGGAACCTCTTTATAGCGAACATAATAGCGAAAGCCTCAAGCTTAATATTGGTATAATTTATTTCGGATTTTAATAAGGTTCTCGACGCGAAAGCTATTGGTTTTTCTTTGCCGTCTTTTTCAGTAACCACATTTAGATGCGTCAGTGGCAATTCCTATAAATAATTCAGGATTAAAATAAGTCAATGCAGGAGGAAGACTAATCAACTTCTTCAGATCATTAAAACTTCTAGAGTGTTCTAAGTTCCAAGCCCATTTTTCTTTGTTGTCGATATTATATAGAGGATCGGCTATTTCTGCAAATTTGTTCAAAAATTTTCTATAGTAGCCAGCCATTCCCAGAAATTTTGATAATTCAGTAGCTGATTTTGGTTATGGCATTTTAATTATTGCTTCAATTATGTCGTGATTAGCATGATTCCCCTTGGCGTCAATATCATGACCCAGGAGAACCTCACTTTATTTTTAAAGAACACACTTTTGTTGAAGTTAGGTACTAACCCAAACGATGATATTCTATAAAACATTTTTTTGTGTTATTTAGGTGAGCTTCATCTTTTTTTCCTGTTATAAGTAAATCATCAATATAAAATATGACATCTTTCATGTCACCGAAGATTTTGTCCATGATCTGTTGGAAGATTGCAGATGAGGACTTTATATTTAAACCAGAGACCTGCAGAGGTACCATTTGCACGGCCCGTCTCGGTTTTAAAATTTTTAGGCCCGGCCCGGCTCGGATATTTTTTAAAAAAATTTTTTACGGCCCGGTGCGGCCCGGATTAAAAAATTTAAAGCCCGGCCCGGCCCGGATTTAAAAATTTAAGGCTCGGCCCGGATATAAGTATATTCCATATTTTATTCAGATATTTAATTACAAATTGATACTATAAAAAATTTGTGCAAATAATATTTTTGAATATAAAAGATTCTATTGTGATTTTTAATTTTTATTTAAAAAATACATGTAAAAAGCTAATATTTTGAGAATATTATATTAAATTTATAAAAATTATAAAACTGTTATTTATAAAAATGAATGAGCATATACTATATTTTATATTGCATTTATAAAAATAAAACTAATATTCATAAAAATGGTAATAATATTTTGAGCATATACTATATTTTATATTGCATTTAAAAAAAATAAAAGTTAATTTATAAAATAATGGAAAATATTTTGAGAATATAATATATTGTATTTACTATTTAATTTATAAAATAAAAATAAATCGCTATTTAAAAAAATGCATGTAAAATAAATATAAATAGTATTTTGAAAATATAATCTAATTGCACAATATTAAATTAATATAATTTTTAACAAAAGAAGATAATTGTATAGGCTAGTAAATTGGTAATATCCCTTGTGCTTAGATATAGTTAAAATATTTCTGCAACTTTTATCAATCTGGACCTGTAAGAAAGCATTTTTAAAATCGATCTTCGTAAATTTCTTTCCTTCTGAAAGTTTAGCTATTAGATCATTAATTCGTGGGTGGATATCTGAAATCTTCTAGAGCTGGGTTTACGGTGTCCTTAAAATCAGCGCAAAGTCTAATGCTCCCATCATCTTTGTAGACGGCGGTAATAGGACTTGCTCATCATATTCACAAGCTCAATAATTTTATCATGTATCCATTTTTTAAGTTCTTTGCCCACAAGATCAATTTTTGAATAAGGTATACGTCTAGGTGGTATAATTTTAGATTGTACATCTCTTCTTAAATGTAACTTGACACTTGCTTTGTTAATTGGACCGTTAGTCAATTTGGATTCGCACTCATTAATCAATTTTTTAATTTCATTATCGTAATTTGTCAATATTTACTATAAATTTTTTAAAATATTTTTGAAGGCGTTAATCCATGTACGTCCCAACAGACTCAACTACTACCGCTTGTAAATATTTTGAGATACCTTCATAAGTCACTTTAACTTGCGTAATGCCTATGATCTTAATTAAATTTCCATCATAGGCGCAGGGGCGTCTCTAGCCTTTACAATCTCAGGGGGCTCAACTAAAAATAATTTATAGGGGGTAGAGTGGGGGGTGCAAAGCCCTTCATACTCCCATTCTTGCAGGCCTTCGGCCGGGTTTTTTATTATATATTATACTTTTTTAAAATTTGCTCCCTCTGAACAATTATTATGAATTTTATATTTTGTCATTTATTATATTATGCATACAAAATAAATTAGCATATAAATCATTAAAATAATCAGGGTTGGGCAAATTTTCAGAAAATTGTATTCAGATACAGATACTTTATAAAATTTTGTATTTAAGATACTAGATACTTTAGAAAAATTTCAATAAGATACAAGATACTTGTATTTTTTTAAAAAAAAGTATCTAAGATACAAGATACTTTTTTAAAAAACTTTAAATAGTCAAAATCAAAATGTATAGAGCTTTATTTTCTTATCTATAATATAAATTTATAAAAAAATATTTAAAATAAATTGTAGAAAATAACAAATTTATTATAAAAGATAATGCGATATTCCATTTAATTATTATATAATTAGTAAATAATAATAAATTAGCATCATAAATCAGCATTATTTTTTAATATTATTAATTTTTCGTTCAATCTTTGACGATTTGGTCTATTAACCATATTAGCAAAGCTAAATAATCTTTCAACGGGGGCTGAGGAGGGTAATATTGTGTTATATTTAATAAATATTTCTTTTATATATTTATAACTATTTAACATATTTATAATCCACCTGTCATCTTTCATATAATTTAGGACCTCTATTTCAATATCATTTATTGAATTATTAGAATTGTATGTGGTACTTTTAAGGCAAAAGTAATCATCATCTTCATCACATCAATTGAAGATTTTGTTGAAGTATTAATTTCAATATTATTTTTAAAAACAATTAAAACTTCATGTAATAAAAAATCCTGAAGGTTTTTTTTTTTTCACCATCAATCCAACGATTTTTAAAATAGGGATGAGAAATAGTTACCAAAAATGCACTTTTAAAATTGTTATCAAAATTATATATATTTTTATATTTTTTTATTTAAATAATTTTCTATGGCAACAGCTAATGGTTTGCAAAATTGTAGATTGGTTTGAATTAAATCTGTAATTTTTTTTAACGACATTTAAAATTGGAGCTGATTCTCCATAATAGCAATTGATTTCACTCTGTATTTTGTCAATCGCTATAGCCAATGGGGCCATTATATTGCAATATTCTTCTAAATATTGAATTTCAATATCTCTTAATTTAGGAAATTCTAATTTTTGACATAATTTAGGAAGTTCGCCTTTAAATTTTAATAAACTATGAAGACTATCATACAAACTATTCCATCTAGTGCAACAAGGTGTAACTAATTGTTTTCCTAAAACTGCTTTGATAAGTTCTGCAGTTTTAGGCCTATTATTTGCATTCCAAGTACATTTAGCTATTGCAGATGAATTTTAGAAATGTTAGGAGAATCCTTAATAGCTCTCTCGACATCTGTTGTGGCAATTAGACTTATAGTATGGCACAAACAACGAATGTGTTGAGGCAATGTTATTGAGGCTTTTTTAGACCCTTAAATAAACAAATAAATAATTTTATTTGAATAAAATTTTTTACTAAATTTACAATATCATAATAAATTTTAAAGAAGTATTAAATAATACTTTCATGATTTCGAATTCTATACATTCATCATCATTGATGTCAAAGTCATTCTCTACAGCTTCTATAGAATATCCAAACTCCTTGAAAGCTTTCTTAAAGTTAGAGCCGTTATCTGTAATAGTTGCTATAACTTTTTCGTCAATACCAAAGTCACGATGAATTTCTTTATTATGATCATCTTGAAGTACTTCAAAAAATTTGCCATTAAGTATGCTTAGTTTAAATTTATTGTTGTAATTTTCGGTTGAAGAATCATCTGAAGACGATGATAAACATATTATTCTATTTTCTTCTTCCATAATTTTAAAATAGACAGATATAAAACGATTCAAATATGCTAGTTCTAATTGTTAGCAAATTGCTATATGACGACCAACGTCATATATCAAAAATTATCTTAAAATATCTAAATTTTGATTAAATTTTTCATTTAAATCTTAAAACAATATCATTTAAAATTTTAATACTATTTAAATTAACCAATATAAATTTTTTTTAAAGTTTCTGTATCTTTTTTAATACAAAGTTGGTTAAGATACAAATACTTTTAAATAATATGTATCTTAGATACTGGATACAAGATACTTTCCAAAAATTTTATAAAATCTATTTATTACAGTATAAAATATTTTCGATTACTGATTTAAAAAAATTTTACGTCTAAAGAATTGCAAGTGATAAAAGATTAATTAATTCATACATATGCCTCAATTGATAATTGTTTTTAAAAACCACATAATAATATAATTCTTAGCAACATACATTGTCATGAAACTAATAAAACTCTCTGCTACCATTTTAGACAATGTTTTATAAAATGGACTAATAAGGAAAATTTTATAGGCCTAGCCAAATAAACAATTCTCAAAGAAGAGATTATAAACGACCATCATAAAACTATATGGTGGTTAGAGCTTCCTCTTAGATGATATGATGGAAGCTAGATAAGTAATCGAGAAAATTATTGTGAGATATTAAATTTCTAAAAGATTATCTTCCATTTTTAATAATATATAAACGACTACACAGTTGACCATTATTGCATATAAAATATGCATTCATATGATCTCAGCAACTATAGTAATAATCTTAACTTACATTGCCACACAAATGATAGATGCCGGTTAATTTGCAGTCATAACTATGACACTCACGATGTAACTCATAGAATTTATTATGTTATATAAATAGATAAAACAAAAACACTAAAAATCTTTAGAAGAAATTATGTAAATATATTGAAGCCTTAAGTTATTTACACGGCAAGGATTCTATATTAGAAATGAAACATTTTAACCAGAGTGATATGATGAAAGCAATTAAAATTTTATATATTATTATCTCACCACATCGAGTTGGTATATTATATCTTAAAATAATAGTAATTTGTAATAATATCAAAAATATACTCGAAATTTAACTCGAAACTGTTTTTCAAATAAGAAAAAAAATAGCTTTCTTAAAAACACATAAAAAAAGAGAAGAAAATATATCTAATTTTTAATGTCCATTGTGGGATAAATAATAAGAGTTTAATCTTTAATAATATTTTTAAATATAAATAGATGGCGTTAAAGAATTGAATGCAAATTGTTACTTATATTTATTATCAAAAGCATTTAATAGTAAAATTTATTAAAATATTAACTGTAATATTTTATATAACTGTCAAATACTTATGTAAAAGTGGCATTTTACCTAATATTTTATAAACAATTATATATAATAGGGAATTATAAACTATATGTCTACTTTTTTATAAAGACAATCTACTATACTTATTTGGACCTTGAAATTATTTTTAGGAAGAGGCATGGTAATTAAATTTAAAAATGAATAATATAGGTGATTTGTGATTTTGCACTCGGCTAATTACAATATAAAATTTGTTAATTTTAAATTAATAAATGATTATATTTATTTAATTAGGGTTATATAATAATTTGAAATAAAGGTCAATTAAGCTTCAATTGTTAATGCTAAATTAATAGAGTGATATTGATATTCTATTTTTAACACAGAATTTGATTGCAAGCTGTCATAGTAAAAATATAATTTATATGTATTAATAATGTAATAATTAAAATAGTATTCATTTAATAAAAATTTAGATAGTCTTATTAATTTTTAAATAATAAAATTAAATATATATTACGCAATAGAATTATAAAAGAAATCGTTCAGGAGGCCAATCAAAACAATTTATTTTTAGTTCAATGGCATATTAAGGAGCTATTAAAAAAAAATCCTTCAGGGGGCTATTCAAATTTTTCAGGGGGCTCACGCCCCTGCGCGCCTCTCCCTAATGACGCCACTGCATAGGCGGTAAGTTGTAACTCGGATCTTTTAACATCTCTAATACCAAGTTTTTTTAGCCAATTCATGAGGTATAATGGTGTATTTGGAACCCGTGTCGACTTGCATGGTTGTTATAATATCATTTACTTTTAAGGTAGTCATAAATACCTTATTTTTATCATTAAGCATGTCCCCAGATAAATTGTTAATGTTAAAATCGTTATCATCTTTATTTTTTGTAGAGTCAACTTTTTAACAATTTCTTCAATATTCATATTATGGTAGTTGTTGTCAGGGTTTCGAACCGAACCGCCAAACCGGAATGAACCGTTATGATTTTCTGAACCGCAACCTTAATAGAAAATATAAAAAGAGCGAACCGAACCGTTATAAATATTTTGAACCGGTTCAAAACGGTTTTAAAAAATAATTAATTTTAAATTATTAACCTAAATTTGAAATTTTAATTTTCCTTGGGGGAATTTTTAAAATTTGGTGATTTCTTTTCAAATTAAATATTTTTATATTATCAACATTATTTATCAATTAATACCAAGTTTATTGTTTTTTTCTTTAAATACTTATTTTATTAGAGAATAGGCTAATTATCTGTTAATTAGATAAGATATCTTAAAATCACACATAATTATTCTTGGCTAAATTAACAGGTTATATATATAAGTTATTAATAAGCTTTTATAATAATACTTACTAATAGTTTAGGAAAAAATTAAATAAATCTACTATTAATAACTAACATCTAATAGAAATCAGTACTTTTACATTCATTTTTATATAATATGGTTTATTTTTTATCTCATTATAAAAACTTGGATCATAGAATTTAAATGACAATAAATAAAATGGTCAGCAATATTTTAATGATATGATAATTTTTTATTTATAATCATATTGTTTTTTTAAATTCAGAATTCTAATATTTATTTAAGTCATTATAAATTATTTATTATTAAAATAATATTTTTAACATTTGAAGAAGGAGAGATCGCCAGAAAACATCTTTGTAAAACTTGGAACTTGATACAAAGTCTAAATAATCAGAATATTGAAATTCTAAATACTATGCCTACGTGTTCGCATTCGAAAGATAATTTAGATGATGATTTTGAAGATATATTAAAGTGGCATAAAAGTCTTAATATGAATAATTCTCAGGGCATAGAAAATTATAATAAATGTATAGAAATAAAATATATAATTCGGTCATTTGATAATATAGAGAGATTAGAAAAAGATACTAATCTTTTGAATTATTGGGGAAATGTAAAGAATAGTATGCCAGAACTTTATAAGTTAGCTATAAATGTGCTGGCAGTTCCAGCTATGCAGGTATCCGTAGAAAGAGCATTTTCTAGCCTTAAGTTTATATTCTCTGCACAGAGAACTAAATTAAATCCTGAAATATTAGAAAATATTTTAGTCATCCGTTCTAATTCTCTTTTTAAACATAAATAGTATACCTTTTATTATATTTATGTGTTATTTTATTCATCATTGTATTTACACATGTTTGTTTTTATCTTATTTATTTATGAAATAAAAAAAATTAATTTGTCTAATTTGTATTTACTAAGTTTAATAAATATTAGATTATCATGGTTAAATTAAATAAGAAATTATAAATTGAAAAGATTTTTCTCTAAAATTAATATATACATGGTTAATGATTAATTTCTTTTTAAATCAAATTTATAAAAACCGGAACAAACCGAAATGAACCATTATAAATTATAAACCGAACTGAACCGATATGAATTTTTTTAAAAAAAACAGAAATGGAACAAAACCTTTATAAAATTTTAAACTAAAAACCGGAACAAACCGAACCGTTATGCTTAACGGTTCGAAACCCTGGTTGTTGTTATATTATTTGCTTTCTCTGATTTCGCTACCTCTATAATCATTTGAATTATTACTATAGGATTGGTAATTTGCGTTTCGATTACAATATTGGATCTGTTTCCTCTGATTATTATCATGCCATGTATTATTATTATTTCTACCGTAATTAGATTGATTATTATTGTTGTAGCGATACTTGTTGTAGTTATAGTTATTATAATTATCATGGTATCCAGTGGCGTGGCTAGGGGGGGGGAGGGGGGGGGGGGGGGGGGCTCGAGCCCCCTGAAGAGTTTGAATAGCCCCCTGAAGCAAAAAAATTTTTTAATGGTTCCTTAATATCCCCTTGAGCTAAATATAAATGTTTTTAATTGCATTCTGAATAATTTCTTTTATAATTCTATTGAGTAATATATAGATTTAATTTTATTAAAAAATTAATAAGACTATTTTAATTTAATTAAATTAAAACTATTTTAATTATTAGATAAGATTATTACATATAAATTATACTGTCAGCTTGCAATCAAATTCTATGTTAAAAATATAACAATATCACTCACTAAATATTAATTTAGCATTAACAGTTGCTTAATTGACTTTTATTATTTAAATTAATATATAACCCTAATTAAATAAATATAATCATTTATTAATTGAAAAATAATAATTTAATATTTTAGCCGAGTTAAAAATCACTAATCAACTATATTATTGATTTTTAAATATAATTATCATGTCTCTTCCTAAAATCATTTTCAAGGTCCAAATCCAAATAAGTATAAGAGATTTATTTATAAAAAGTAAGTAGACATATAGTTTATAATCCTCTATTACATATAATTTTTTATAAAATATTAAGTAAAATGCCACTTTTACAGACGTATCTGACATATATAATATATTACAGCTAATATTTTAAAAATTTACTAATAAATGCTTGATAATAAGTATAAGTAATAATTTGCTTACAAATATTTAACGCTATCTATTTATTTACAATATAATCATACAATGGATGTAATAAATTAGATATCTTTTCTACTCTTTTTTACGTATTTTTAGGAAGCTAATTTTTTCTTCTTCGGAATATAGATTTGAGTTAAATTTTTAATACGAATATATTTTCAATATTATACAAACTACTATTATTTTAAGATATAATATACCAACTAGAGATGGTGCGACATTAATATATAAAAAATTAATTGCTTTCATGATATCAATCTGGTTCTTATTTTGTACTTACAAAATGTTTCATTTCTAATATGTCATTTTTGCCGTGTAAATAACTCAAGGCTTCAATATATTTGCAAATTTCTTCTAAAGGTTTTTAGTGTTTTTGTTTTATCAATTTATTTAACAGAATAAATTCTGATATGGGTTACCATCGTGAGTGTCATGCCTAGGACTGCAAATTAACTATCATCTATTATTTGTGTGGCTATGTAATTTAAGATTATTACTACAGCTGCTGAGAGCATATGATGGCATATTTTAGATAAGCAATAATGGTCAACTGTGTAGTCGTTTATATATCATTAAAAATGGAAGATAATCTTTTAGAAATTTAATATTTCTCGATTACTTATCTAGCTTCCATCATGTCATCTAAGAGGAAACTCTAACCACCGGTATCGGTCCGATCCGTTTGTCTGTCTTTTGTCATTGTACCATTTCGCTTAAAAATTTCGAAATATTTCTTAGAAAAAGTCTTTACTTCAATATTGAATTTGTGTTTATCTCCTTAAAGGAAAAGGTAATTGTTTTAATTAAAATTTTTACATATTAATATTTTAAAGTATTTACTTCAATACTGTAATTTTGGTTATCTCATTAATTTACATCAATATTGTATATTTGTTTATCTCCTTAAAGGAAAAGGTAATTGTTTTAATTAAAATTTTTACATATTAATATTTTAAAGTATTTACTTCAATACTGTAATTTTGGTTATCTCATTAATTTACATCAATATTGTATATTTGTTTATCTCCTTAAAGGAAAATGTAATTGTTTTAATTAAAATTTTTACATGTTAATATTTTAAAGTATTTACTTCAATACTGTAATTTTGGTTATCTCATTAATTTACATCAATATTGTATATTTGTTTATCTCCTTAAAGGAAAAGGTAATTGTTTTAATTAAAATTTTTACATATTAATATTTTAAAGTATTTACTTCAATACTGTAATTTTGGTTTTCATTAATTTACATCAATATTGTATATTTGTTTAATATCTGTTTATCTCCTTAAAGGCAAAGGTAATTGTTTTAATTAAAATTTTTACATATTAATATTTTAAAGTATTTACTTCAATACTGTTATTGTGGCAATCTTAAATAATAATACCAACTTCATACCGAAAGTCCTTATAAATGTAAAATTTATTATATCTGTACTTCTCCAACCTGCCATGGTAGAGGATTTACATTAAATAATGTATTTACTCTGACAGCAGAATGCAATGGTAAATTATTTAATATGCAAGATTTTAATATACAAGATGTAATTTATTATTTTCTAGATATTTGCAAGTACTTGACTGCAAGAAGAGGAAGTATTTTACAATATAATATGAAAATCAAATTAATATATTTTTCCTTAAGTATCATTGGGAAGAAATGAAGATAATGTGACTTCTGTGAATATTCATGAACAAGAAGATGGAAGTGCTGTGGGGATTTCTGGGATCCTTGAAGAAGGTCCGGAGTCAATATCCTCGATGATTAATCCTATTCGAGAAGATGCTGATTTTGGTTAATCAAAATTTTGTTAATATATTTTCTTTTTAATTTTATCATAGTTAATCAAAATTTTGTTAATATATTTTCTTTTTAATTTTATCATAATTAATCAAAAATATATTTTTCCTTAAGAATCGATGGGTAGAAATGAAGATAATGTTACTTCTGTGAATATTCATGAACAAGAAAATGGAGGTGCTGTGGGGATTTCTGAGATCCTTGAAGAAGGTCCGGAGTCGATATCCTCGATGATCAATCCTATTCGAGAAGATGCTGATTTTGGTTAATCAAAATTTTGTTAATATATTTTCTTTTTAATTTTATCATAGTTAATCAAAATTTTGTTAATATATTTTCTTTTTAATTTTATCATAATTAATCAGAAATATATTTTTCCTTAAGAATCGATGGGTATGAAGAGATTGTGACTTCTGTGATTAATCATGAACAAGAGGATGGAGAGGATGATCTCCATGTTTTACCATTTTTGGACGAAAGTTTTATAGATGAAGAAGTTGTAATCGATATCTCCATTGCAGCTGATAGCTCTGTAACTTTACCAATATCAGTTAATAACATTTAATTCTCATATTTAAATGTAGAACAGCCATATAATTTTATTTTTTCCCAAAAAAAACGTAATTTGTTATATTCAAATAAATTTCTATATGTTCATCATAAATTTGGAATTTTATTTATATGTAGACTAAGTCATTGTACGGCAAGAGGTACATTATTAAATATGCAGTTTACATTGACACATATTCACAACCATCCTTTTGAATCTGAGGAAGAGCATTATGCAATTTTAGTAACTATGAATAAACTTAAAGAACAAATTCGAGCGTACCCCTATCAAAGCAAAGGTAAAACATATAATCAAGGTTAAATTAATATTTTTACTTAATTTTTTTTATTTAATTTAGATAGCCTAATATACCATTCTTACATTAGGATTTTGTCATGCTAAATTAAATTTGTTAATTGAAATATTTTTATCCTGTGTTGGTAAAAGGTATCCAAGTTTTTTAATTACTATATTAAGGTCTAAAATCTCAGTATTTGAACAAATAGATTTAATATTGTCAAACACATCAGATAAATTAGCAAGTAAAGTATTTACTTTAACGGAGTCCGATGATGTGCTGAAAAAGTAGTCAAGTACCCTTTCTATGTAAACCTCAGTCAGTGGTCCAATAAGCTTAGGAAACTTATAAGGTGTATAATATTTTATATCCGTTTATTATTATCTTTTTTTATAAAATATTACGTTAACATATTATATATTAAACAAAAATGTTGTTAATGTGTGTTTTCGTAATATAAAAAATGATGTTGTTCAAATCTTCACAAATATGCATCTTATTTGCACGAATTCGGAATCGTTGTATGCAAAAAACTTACCATTTAAGGCCTCATAGTAACGTAACATCTCCTTCAAGTTATAAAACTCGAAGAATATCTCCATGAACGGGTCCTCTCGTATATTGTACATCAGAATTCTCGGAAATACATAAAAATTTTATAATAAAATGTTATTAAAAGTTTTTACATAGGAATTATAGAAAATTATTTTTTATTTTATGTTTTTACATGTAAACATTAAATCTCACTATGATAAAAAAATGGAAGAGAAAAAAATTCAAAAAAAATGTATAGATAAATGGTGAGTATTTTTTTACCATTCCGGGGTACCATGTAAGAATAATACGTATATTCGTTCCGTAATAATTTATTTCGATCTCTATTCATTTTCTGCAAACATTTACAATATATCTCTATTTTCTATCTAAAAATTAGAATATAAACAAAAAAACGTGAAATAAAATGTAAAGTACATATTAAAAGAACTAGTTAAATAAGTATTTTTTACAAAATAAAAGAATAATCTACACAATAAAATAAGACGAGGTTAAATCGTTATTCAACACCCCTTGAACTAAAAATAATTTTTTTTTAATTGCCCACGATTTCTTTTATAATTCTATTGAGTAATATATAGATTTAATTTTATTATTTAAAAATTAATAAAACTATCTAATTTTTATTAAATGAATACTATTTAATTATTAATTCTGTGTTAAAAATATATCAATATCACTCACTAAATATTAATTTAGCATTAACAGTTGAAGCTTAATTGACTATTATTATTTAAATTATTATATAACCCTAATTAAATAAATATAATCAATTATTAATTGAAAACTAACAAATTTAATATTGTAATTAGCCGAGTTCAAAATGACCAATCAACTGTATATTTATTTTTAAATTAAATTATCATACCTATTCCTAAAATTATTTTCAAGGTCCAAATAAGTATAAGAGATTTCTTTATAAAAAGTAAGTAAATAGATATATAGTTTATAATCCTCTATATATACAGTTGGTTATAAAATATTAGATAAAATGTCACTTTTATAAACGTATTTGACAGTTATTTAATTACAGTTAAATTATAATAAATTCTAATAAATGCTTTTAATAATAAATATTGTAACAATTTGCATTCAAGTATTTAACGCCATCTATTTAGTTAAAAATAATTAAATTAAACATTTTATTATTCATCCTACAATGGATGTAATGAATTAGATATCTTTTCTTTTCTTTTTTTTACTGTTTTTAGCTATTTATCTCATTTTCGAATAACAATTTTGAGTTAAATTTTTAATACAAGTGTATTTTTGATATTATTACAAACTACTATTATTTTAAGATACAATATACCATTTAGAGGTGGTGCGACAATACTATATAGAATCTTAATTTCATCATATCATTCTGGTCCTTATTTTATAGGTATAAAATATTTCATTTCTAATATGGCATCCTTGCCGTGTAAATAACTCAATATGAATAATTATTTCTTCCAAAATTTTTAGTGTTTTTATTTTATCAATTTATTTAATATAATAAATTCTGATATTAGTTTACATCGTGAGAGTCACGGCTATGACTGCAAATTAACCAGCATCTATTATTTGTGTTTATGTAATTTAAGATTATTACTACAGCTTCTGAGAGCATATGATTGCATATTTTAGATAAACAATAATAGTCAACTGTGTAGTCGTTTATATATCATTAAAAATGGAAGATAATCTTTTAGAAATTTAATATCTCACAATAATTTTCTCAATTATTTATCTAGCCATCATGTCATCCTAAGAGGAAGCTCTAACCACCATATAGTTTTATGATTTGGATCGGTCGTTTATCTCTTCTTCAATAATTGTTAATTTGGTTTAGGCTTATAAATTTTTCCTTATTAGTCCATTCTATAAAACATTGTCTAAAATGGTAACAGAAGTTTAGTTTCATAACCTTTTGTCAATGTAAGTTGCTTAGATTATATTATTGCATTATGTGGTTTTAAAAACTATTATCAATCGAGGCATATGTATGAATAAATTAACCTTTTTTATCACTTGTAATTCTTTAGACGCAAATTTTTTTATATCAGCAATGGAAAATATATTTTACTGTAATAAATAGATTTTGTATAAAAAATATTATTTTTAGAAATGTCTTGTATTGTTTTAATTATTTATATGGATTTTGTAATAAATGACAAAATATTAACAAAATGGGGGGGGGGGGCGAAGCCCTCCATAAGATTTTATTTAGTTAAGCCCCCTTAAATTGTAAAGGCTAGCGACGCCCCTGAGTCGCAGCGTTAAAATAAAAGGACAGACTTTGACCATTGAGGGGCATAATGGAGAAGAGGATATGATGGGGAAAGTAACCTGGTTACTGGTTCAGGAGTTAATCAAAGGGTGGACGAGAGCCAAGGGAAAATTCTAGGGGAAGGAGATTGGAAATAAGACAAAGTTTTGAGCCTCGAGGGAGAGGAGTAATGAGTTGTTATAATTGTGGTAAACCAGGTCATATGCTCAGGGATTGCCGTGAGCAAAATGCTTTAGTTGTGGGAAGCTTGGACATATTGCCCCTTATTGTACAGGTAAGCAAGAGAGATTGAGATGTTCGGGTTGTGGTCGATTTGGGCATAATAAGGAAGAGTGTAATACGAGCAATTACAACAACAGAAGCGGTTTTCCACAGAGAGGGATGGATCTGAATGCTCTAGGACGAATGAGCGGGAGAAAATGGAAGGAGTTCGTGCAGTCAATGTTAATGAAGCGGGGGAGAAAAATATGGAATGTTTTCGATACCGAAAGGGTGGGCATGTAGCGAGGTAAGTGAGAATTTGTGACTATATGATGGCGAAAAATTTGCAAGATGGGTCGGGGCGCGGCGGTTGAAATGGACAAAGGAGGAGCGTTATCAGAGAAAAATAAATAAAGAGGGAGGTGTCAATATGCTACAAGAAGGGCTAGTGTACATGATCGTTGTCCGAGAGTGATGATAAATTTAGGTGGGAGAAAGTTCCCATGTTGTTTGATACGGAAGCAGCCATTTCGGTAATTGGATATAATGGATATCAGAGTATTTGGCCCGGTGAAATGATAGAGAATGATGGGTTAAAAATAAGTCAGTTTGATAGGACCCTGTTGGCAGCCATGGGGAGAGTGGAAATAGTAGCAACATTGGAGGAAAGGGTTGAAATATTAGATTTATGGGTTATCAGTCGGAATATAGAAGCGGTGTTGGGATGGGATTGGATAACTAGGATTGGTCCATGGTATAGTTTTTGGGGAGTATTTTGATGGTGGGGTATATTCGTACCAATAACGAGTGAGGAATATGCTGTTATGACATTAAGAGAGAATGTGTTACCAGTAATTGAGACATTTAATGAGGGAACCAGAGAAAATAATTATAGGAGAGAAACAAGGAGCGATAATTCAAGGAGCGAAACAAGGAAGAATAATTCAAGGAGCGATAATTTAAGGAACCAAACAAATCAAAATAATTCAAGGAGTGAAATAAGGAGAAACAATTCTAGGAGCGATAATTTACGGAGCGAAACAAGTAAAAATAATTCAAGGAGCGATATTTAAAGAGTGAAACAAGTAAAAATAATTAAAGGAGCGATAATT